TTAATACGATTGATCTTACTATTTTACAAATGCACTCAGAGCATTCTAGCCATAACAGTTATCCTCTGCAAACATTGATACAAATTTGACGTTGACTTGAAGGCGAGGCAGTTGGGGGGAACCAGGAAGTGTGAAGTGTATATGGGTTTTTTGTCTTGCCACATCTCCTTTGAGTCACATTTTTTATTTACGGTTGAATTCGTCATTAAGAATAAGTTGATGCATTGGTATATTCGGGGCAACGTATTGCTTTGGAAGAACAATACTATTTTTGACATTAAGACGGCTTGCGGATGTACTAGACCACATCTATATTCAGTTCTATCCCATTTCTACTTTACCAAACTCTGCGCTATCAGCTTGGCAACTTAAATAAATTGGAATACTTTCTATTCCTCTGTCGTCTTTACTAGATGACCTCAAATTGGACGATGATGATTCGGACGATGAGGAGGAGTTCTTCAAGGGCGAAAATGACTCTGGTGCCACCGACGAGGGCTACACCAGCTCTAGACAGCGTAATGGGAAGGTAGGATTTTATTTACGGGATTAAATCACTTCTGTGTTCAAAGAAAACAAAATATCCAGTTGTTTTCCTCCTCATTTAGATAGATGAAGGTAGCAGCGAGTCAGCCGATGGAGGTGACGATGACGATGACACAGTCACCTTGGCTCCGGACGATGACTCTGATGAGATCGGCGCTGACGAAGAGAATGAGGATAATGAAGATGGCGAGGAGGACGCAGAAGAGGAAGAAGGGGAAGAGGACGAGATGGTGCGACTTGGCCTACGACCCAAGTACATCAAGTGTCCCGAGGACGATGAGTTTGTGGCGGAGCTGGAACGAATGACCGCAGAAGCAATAATGCCCGGCGCTGGGGTACCTGCCGGCCCCACGGCCACCGTCACCTCTACCGCTATCTCTGGCACTGCCTCCCTATTACCCTCATTAGAAAGCCTTGGAGTGGGTGCCGCTGCTGCCCGTAAGGCCGCTGCTCGCTCTGCTGCTGCGCAGACCCAATCTACTGCGGAGAACATAATCGCGGCGTTGGAGTCCACAACCCCCCGCATCGCTACTAGCCCTCTCAATGGTGATCTTACGGGCAACATGGTAATGTGGTCTGAGTTCAAAGATTATTTGTTTAACTTGATGCTAATGCCTCGGATTTTTGCGCCTTATATTCGAACCATTTCGTGGACGCCTTTAGGGTGGTTTTGCATAGACGTTAATATCTTGCGATCGACTTTTTTGAAAGGTGCACTTGTTTTCTGGTAATCATTTTTTTAGATTTCGTTTCACTTCTTCTATCTTTTTTTTTCACACTAGCTCTCTTTAGGTAGGATAGCAGGATCCTATGCTTTAGCTCGTTATTAGTGCTCTTAAAGTTATGGTATTTCAATGTGGTTTCTTGCTCAAATCAGTACTTTCGAACGTGAGTCTCGTCATGTTGTCACGGATTGCAGCACATGAATGCTAGCATATCAAGAAGCCAAGTGTTTGGTGCGGCGAGGGCGTCTGTTCGTGATCTCTAGTAAACCACTTTAGCCTTAGAAGTGTTGGGCCAAAGGCGCCTGTGTATGCAACTTCAGCTTGAGCAACGTTTCTCCATTGTCAAATTTGTAAGGTGAGAGCGTTAGCTGATAACTCAATTGTACGAAAGTGCATTGAGTTACCGTTGCTTTATGCACATTGAAAGTTACATTTATAGACTTTCCTGAAGGCTAGGACGACCATAATGTTAAGGCACAGTAGGTATTTCCGAAGTGCAAAAAAGTAGAGCCTACAGACATGGCCCTTCTCTAAAACCAAGAGTTAAACAAACAATCAGTGCAACACAACATTTTTTTCATAGCTTCCAGGGCTGTTTACGAATCGTCATCAACAGAACCAACACTTGGCTCGAACGTGTTTGTGGAACTGGCTCTGTAATTATCCCTCCCGAAGGATATCATCCTATCCTAGTTTTCCTTCTGAGGTAATGAAAGTGGAAAAGCAGTCTGTTTGTTTTGGGTGTTACTATCACTTTCATCTTGCGCCAAAGACAATCAAAATTGCATGTTTCACCGAATTCTGCTTTGCGTCTGGCGTTCTTTCAAGCCGTTGACTAATTTGACTCGTCATATGATGCTGTAGCGCAGGAGACGCATCTGTGTATATGTGAGGGCAACTGAATATCGTAAATCGTTAACCAATGTAGTATTTTGGGGTTTTTCAATGTAACCATTCGCTATAATGAAGGGTGAAATGGGTATTTTTGTCCGAGCAGATGGTTTTGTCCTGAAAGTGATCAGCACCAGGTATGTAAACCAAACAGTTTTGTAGGAGGTTGTGAGGGTACCTCGGTGAGACAGGACAGCGCATTAATTGAGTTTATTGTAGTTCTGGTTGTACTGGAAAACGAGTCTGAGCTGTTGTTGGTTTAACGTAAGCGAGACTGGCTTCTCGTTCTATAAATACCGCATGGTAACAACAAGAAGTGGTTATGATCGCTTTCTTCGT